CCCCCCCCCCCCTCTTCGTTTCAAAGGTTTTACATTCGAACGATCGATTAGATCAAGATTCTTCGCGTTTGATGTCGAAAACCTTCACCAGAACATCTTCGACAACCTGCCAGAGGTGCCCGAGATCAGTACGGATCTTAAAAAAAACCCGAGCCGAGATCGAAAACGAAAGGGACCGGACGAATGTGTATTTACCTTGTCCGGAGTTGAAGCACCCGATGTCACACCGATAGTTATCGGTCCCTTTGGGAGAAAGTTCTCCTTCTCGACCAGTTCCCCATACTGTCGGGTAAAACGAAAAACGGTCAGCGCGACATTAGCGAAGAACAAGAGATGGGTTTGAGAGATGAGATGGATCTTTAGATTTTTTTTCCAGTCTAGATGGATATTGTATGTACTTACGTGGAGCTTGTACGCAATTTTGTTCCCCGGGCCTATCCGTTGCTCGCTGTCGACCCAGTAAGAAGGGATCCCACGAGCCTCGGAGATTTCCTGAAGGTGCGAGGTATTACTTGAGTTCCACCCGCCTACGACTAGCATCAGGTCAAGTTTCTCCTCCACCAGTTCGTATATCGCATCTTGTCGCTCCTGAAAAATCGAGAAAACATATGAATACTTTTTTCGGAATGATGACACGAAAAAACGAGAAATGTAAGCAGAGGGATAGGAAGTTTTACTTGAGTAGCGTCACAGATTGTGTTGAAGCTGATGAAATGGCTGTTGATGTTCTCTACTCCATGCTTGCGCATCATTGTCCTCTCTATCAACTTCCCTGTAGTTTTGTAAGCATGAGAAAATGATCGACCCGTTTTTATTTTTTTTCTTGAACCGAAAAGAGGAGAAGAGTGTCGTGTTGTGTCGGGGTATTGCCACTAACCAATCTCTTCCGTTTCATTCTTGAGCATCGTCGTCTGGTTTGCAATACCGACTTTGATTAGGTCGCGGTCCGGGTCAAAACCCTTTGAAACAGCATATTTGAATTTCTACAAGGAAAGCCGAGATGGTGATCAGAACATTTAGATAGTGTATTGGAAAAGCTAGTTTTAGTGAAGAATGATGCGCAAATCAGTTGATACCTCCATGAATTCCTCTTTTGTGGAGCTAGACCCATCGAGTTCACCACCGAGAATGTAATCACACACGTATTTTGCCTGCGCTCGATTACCGAGTAAACCCATAAGCATCAAAGAATGAGATGTTGTATTTTGATAAGAGGGCAACTGTAGGAAAAGGCGTACCTCTTTCATGTTTTTCACGATAATGTATGTTCCTGCAAAAGATGAAGTTGCGATAGTCTCTTCGTGACTATAAGTACCATGGATTATTGACGTGTATTCCCCCTTCTTGTGCTTCTCAACCATGTTCCAGACCTTCAGAATCGCAAATGTCGAAAAGGAAGAAATTAGTAATCTGCCCTGGCGATGAATTAAGTGTAGGAAAGTGAAGAACGTACCTTTGTTACCCAAGGGCAAGTCGTGTCGACAATTTGAACCTTTTTGTCATTCAACACATACATTTCGTCAACACCAGCTCCGAACGCAGGCAGAATCACAACATCATCTTTATCTACTAAATCAAATTGCTTCTTCCTTTCCTCGACAGGAATAATTTTAACGTCCATCTCCTCTAACCTCTGCCACAGAAAACCAAAATGTTAAAATCAACCTAAAAACTACTACTAAAAGCCAATTAACAAATCTTTGATCTTTCAAAACTCAACAACATCAACAGGCCTCGAAGCATTAGCATCTAGCGAACAGACTCACGAAAAGTGACTGACTTTCTGAAGGAGATGACAATATAACATTCATGTGTCATCAGATACCGTAAAAATCCAGGATTTCCGAGTAGTAGGGTAGGGCCGACAGACCTTATTGACAGTCGGGTTATGAATGATTTCGTTAGTAATCCAAATTCTCTCCTCCGGGAACTGCCTTCTCGCTTCATACGCAATCTGGACAGCTCGCTCGACCCCCCAGCAAAAACCATATGCTTTAGCGAGCTTCACGGTAACATCTCCCCAGGTGTATGTGCTTCCATTTGCTTTGAGTGTCTCTAATATGTCACCTGAAATTGTCAAATACAATAGACACCATAAATCTCCTTGCAGTCCATTCCTTTTTCCCAAAAACCAATGCAATACATACATATATATATATATATATATATATATATATATGTCATGATAACGACAATGATAATTCAACTCCATCCACTTTGTTCCAGTTCAGTTGGTTCATATCCAATTTCATTCTTGGTCTCCCTTACTCGTCAATTCAAATCTAACATTATGGTCCTTCATCTATTTCTTCGGTTGGCAGTCTATTCTGTTTCTTCTGCTTATCAATATGATGAATTGAAACGTTCAACCAAGAATGATCAAGTTTTCACTTGCTTTCTTAAAAACTCGACACGATCAAATTCGACAAAACGTCGAAAAATCCTTAGAATTTGAGCAATTTGAGAAGTTAAAATGAAGAATCAAATATTAATCCAATTTCTATAATCCCTTCCGCATCGTCACCAAACCAACGCCCAAATCTCATCCGATTTCTCCAGTTCCAAGCCCTTTTAGAGTTCGAGAGGCACGAATTGAGTCATCAACGCACATCTGAATTTCCATTTCACCACAAATCATCAACCCAATGGAAACTTCGATTCCAAATAATTTTCTCGGCTACCAACGGATCATATAGAACCATCAAACAATCTCGCATTCCATCAATAAAAAAACCCAACAAATAAGCCACGGGGACTTACTGGTGTACTCCTGATTCATGAGCTGGAGAGTCTCCTCCTTGTGGCCGAAGCCTTTACGGTTGTAATTCTCGCTCCTTGTCAAGTTCTTACGGAACATCTTCGCGTCGAAGTCCGAGTCCATCACCATCGGCGGCGAAGGGACGTTCTCACCTCCCGCCCCGCATCGGACGGATGAAGGTCTCCGGAACTGGAGAGATCCAGTTCCGGAAAGCTTTTTCTCCGGCACGAAGGTTTCCGGTCTGACGCATAATCGGCCCAACTGGAGTGTCACAGCCATGGGGGAAGAGAGAGAGACGATGACTATAGGACTGCTGATGGTGCGGTATTTATCTCAAGGTCCAACATATAAGATCGAGGAGATTCCTTTCCATGTAAATCCTCGAAATGGTTGTTAGTTTACAGGTTAACACATTAACGTGATATTTTCTATAATAGTCTATTAAATTGTACATATCCATATCAAATTATTAAAATTTTACTAATTTCACAACAAGATAATATTATTACAATCCGAATTCTGTATATTTATATAAGATATGATACAATATCCATCCATCCATCTACTCATTTATTTATTATTATTATTATCAAAAATACGGTGTAGAATGCTTTTCATATGACAAAATTGTTTTTTATTGACTATTCAAATCACCACAAATAGTTTCCAGGACTGGGCGTTTCGATTCGGTTCTTCGGAATCGAACCGTTAAAACGGTATTTTTTTCGACCCGAAACCGTTGTTATTTCCCGAACGGTACCATTTTTAGAGAACCGAATTTTTTTGAAACCGAATCGAAGCAAACCGAACTTTAAAAATCCCGAAAAACCGAATATTTTTAAAGAAAATCTATCATTTTTTTAATAAAATCCAGAACCGAACCGAACCGATACCGAAACCGAACCGAACTGAATACTATAAAAAAACCCGATTGGTATCTATTTTTATAAAACCGAAAAAACCAAACCGATCCATTTCTTCCCGAACACGAACCGTTTTCCGAAAAGCCCACCCCTAGTTTCTACTAGGAATTAGCATAGTATGTAACATAATTCCACGAGAATAAAATATTGTTTTTTCTTGAATATGTTGATATATTTTTATATGGAAATTACTTTGCATAATCATAGTTTTTTAAAACAAGATATTTTTTTTATATAGAGATATAAAATATTTATAAAATTCTAGATAAATAAAAAATAAAAATATAAACCAACACAAAAAATGTACTACGCTCACTCGAAATATATGTATTTAATTAATTACTAGCAAAAGGACAAAAGTGGTGCCATTCCTAAAGCGTGTTCCACATTATAATACAAAAACAAAAACGTGTGATGTTGATTGTAAATAGTTTAAAATTACAAAAAAAATGTTGTTTTATATTATTAGATTAGATTTAGGTTTGATTAATGCCATTTACAATTGTAATTTTGATTGCAAATAGTTTAATATTGAGTTTTTGTAGATGTTGGATTTGTGTTAAAGGAATTCATCATCTTCACACCCATTTTGACTATATGCCATTTCTCAAACAAAATCCAATTAAAAATATTATTGCACTAAAATAATATCCTAAACAATCTTATTTGCAACTTTGATTAAAATCACAAACTTTTGTTATGTTTTGTTTGAGTTTTTGCAAGGGTCTCCAAGAAAAAAATATATAATACCCTTTTATGTTAAATGTTAAATACTTCAAATTAACACAATTGTCAATCCAACAATTTTTTTGAAAAAATTTGAACTCATCGTAAAAAAGATTAAACAATTATGCAGAACAACTCGCGAGAGGGTTTTAGGGTTTATGCGCGAACAGAACGGAGGAGGATCGACGACGACAACGACGAGCAAATGGAGAACAAACCCGGAAAACGTGATTCGGATCCGAATCCAAGTTCGGGTCCTTCGTCTGCTTTGGCTTATCTCGATCCTCACTACTGGTAATAACTTTTTTCCAACAAAAAAAAAATGTCTCTTTTTCTTCCGTTTGTCTGACAGTCTGAGTTTCGTGAAAGTTTCAATTTTTTTTTTTTGTTGAGACGTGTTTCTGTCTCAGGGACGAGAGATTCTCCTCCGAGGAACACTACGAATGGTTCAAAGATTACTCACATTTCCGGCATCTCATCCAAAACAACGTCAAACCCAGTTCTTCCGTACATTCTCTCTCTTGCAGATTTCTTAATTATGTTTGTTTATCCCTAAATTACTTGCAAATACGACCAGAAACCAGGATTAGTGTTTTACAAGAAGCCATCCCCACATTATGTACGAAGTATTGATGACCCTGCAGATCTCAAACGGGCATTAGTTTATTGTGTCTATGCTTTCGCAAAATTTGATCTTTTCTTGTTTTCCTTTTCTGGGTCGGTTTTGATAAAGGTGTTGGAGTTGGGGTGTGGGAACTCCCAGTTGTCTGAGGAGTTGTACAAGGATGGAATTGTGGATATAACATGCATTGATTTATCCATTGTTGCGGTAGAGAAGATGCAGAGTCGGTTGCTTTCGAAAGGGTTCAAAGGTATTGTTAAACCCTTGTTGATGGTATCATATCCGTTGCCGGAACTGGAACCAGTCTTGAGATGATTCTGATTTGTTCTTTGTTTCCGACAAACAAGTTAGCAGTTTGAATATCGCTGCTAGGCAGAGATCTTGACCGGGATTTTCTAGAATCTGAACACATTTTCCCCACATTATACTAAATTCTCGATTGCAGTTTGTATCTCTTTGCAATGTTCTTCTGTAAGCTGAACATCATCATCAGTTATAGCTGTTCGTCTCTGCTGGTTGGGGCTTTGATCTTTGCTTTTACTGTGCATTGTGTTACTCTGTATTCAGAAATAAAAGTGCTGCAGGCCAACATGCTGGACCTCCCGTTTAGCGACGAGTGTTTTGATGTTGTTATAGAGAAAGGGACCATGGTAAAATCAACAACCGAGCTGAATGTTTTCCGTTGAACCAAATGAGAGTCTGAAAGTGATCTCCTTTTCCGCTTTCCTTTCGTTTCTTGAAGGATGTCCTCTTTGTTGATGCCGGTGATCCGTGGAATCCCCGTCAAGAAACTATGGACAAAGTCATGGCAACCCTCGATAATGTCCATCGTGTCCTGAAACCAGATGGCATTTTCATATCCATTACTTTCGGTCAGGTATTACCGTATCGGATGCTGAAATCTCATCATTTTGTTGTTTGCGTTTGTTCAAATTTTTTGTTCCGGGATACCTTAATTTTGTCGTTCTTGTCCACACAGCCTCATTTCAGGCGTCCTCTATTTGAGGCTCCCAAGTTTACTTGGTCTGTAGAGTACAACACTTTTGGCGATGGCTTTCACTATTTCTTCTATATCTTGAGGAAGGTCAGTTTCGAAATTTTCTTGGTCTCGTCTCAGATTTCTTTCACTCTGTAGTGTCCTTAACAAATCCCTCAAGTTCTTAGCAAACGTGTCCCGTCAATTGCCAAAGATCCGTAAATCGGTGTCTCGGTAAGTTTTTTTTTCTTCTCCTAACCTGGATTAATAGAGCTGGAGGGTAACAGACGTTAGAATTTGATCATCCGGTTAGTAGCAGAGCACCATTAGAGTCTCTTTTTGTAAACAAGAATCCATCCCAAAACGTAAAATCTGCCTGAAATCTGAGCCGAGTGCTGATTCTGTTTGGATTAAAACCCGGAAACTTTAAGCTATATATCTCCATATCTTCTCAAACTTCCGATTTATTCTTATTGGGGAATGAGAGCCAGGTCTGATCGCCCGAGCAGTACTGATACCGGAAGTCCAAAACTTGATGTAACCTCTGAACTATGGTTTACCCTTTTGGCAGGGAAA